CCTCCCATGCCTAGGCATAATTCAGCATACACAGATGAATAGATCATGTGAGCTAATTTAAGGGACCCTCTCCCAATTCTCTAATCTTTTATGTTGAGATGATGGTCAGTGCCTATTCAAGAGAATAAAAACCTGGGCTTTCTAAACCTTATAAGCAAGGATTCTCTATCCCAAATTTTCCAAGCAGCCACTCACGTTCACTGGACTCTGATGCCCCCCAAACCCCAGAATATCAAAATAGGTACATTAAGATGGCTTCACTTGCACCAAGCATGACTCTAGCCTTCATAAGCACAGGGAGTGCAGGCTGTGATGGTTGCCTGCCTCTGAATATCTCTAGCTGCTGAAACTTGAGAAAATCTTAATTCGGTATGACACCTCTACTAAATTGCAACCAGAAGCAGTCATTTGGATTAAATCGCAGCACTAGAACTCACATTTGGTGACAAACTAAAAGACCCAAAGCTCCCCACTGCTGAATCACTGGTCCTGTGTTCTCGCACTATTGCACAGTCAGAAAAGCATGGCAAATGCGTAGATTTCAAAGGCTGCCCAAAGCCGAGTGTCACAGAAGTTCTGTGACTGTGGGGCTCATAACATACATTGCATGTCTATGTCTGTGGTAGTGATGCAGCTGCCTTCTAATGTCTCTGTCCTGCGTATTAAGCACAGCTAGGTAGATGCCGCTAGAATCACCATGGACCCCCTTCCCCCGCTCCCGTCAGAGGGTCAGCCGAGTTCCTTCTCATGTTCTTGACTTTTGAAGATATCTATAGAAGATCAGACTCTGTCTGTGCATTCTGTTGGCAGTGACCACATCCCTGTATCAGGAGCCAGGCTCTAGGCCAATGTGATGGCCAGGAGGAAGGTTATGTTAACTCAGCATCCAAGGGACTTTAGAGAGAACCTATGGCTTTCTCTTTTGTTTCATAAACTTCTGGGCAGGTTTTAACCAAGGTTAGGTTTTAACCAAGCTTCATTTGTAGTATGAATTTTAAAGAGAAACCCATGTAGGCCTGGAAAAGTGGCTCAGTGGTTAAGAACACTGGCTGCTATTCCAGAGGACTTGGGTTTGATTCTCAGCACCCACATGGTGGCTCACAATGGTCTGCAATTACAGTTCTAGGGGATCCTATGCCCTCTTCTGGCCACCAAAGGCACCAGGCATGCATATGGTATACCAACCTATGTGCAGGCAAAACACCCATACATGTAAAAAAATATATCTAAATATCTAAAAATAAATATAAATAAAAAATAAACACACCCAGAATCTAAAGGGAAGGAAGGAAGGAGAGAAGAAAGGAAGGAGGAAAGGAAGACGGGAGGGAGGGAGCCTCTGCAGAAAATGCACAGCAGAAGAGAAACACAGCGTAGAGCAAAGGTCTTGTCCTCTGCCTAAACATGGAATAACTTCCCTTGGCAGCATGCTTACTGCCACTGGAAACCGTTTACTCCTCAAAGGAGAGAAGCTTCTTGCCAAGCTTCCTGCGGAGGCTGCAGAAACTCTTCCCAAGAAAGAGGAAGCCAGTGCCAGAGTGTCCTATCTTGGCATTTCTTGTAGGATTTCAGTAGGATGTTAAAATGGATTTAGGTCACAGTGGGGAGAAGTGAATGAATCTCCCTCACTCCCCTCCCTTAATTCTATGTCCCCAAGCTGGGCTTTTTTATGACTCAGACAGAAGCTCCGTGATGGAGGTGGGTCTTGTATTTATCTGTTGCTTTCATTGGTTAATTAATAAAGAAAACTGCTTGGCCCTAATAGGACAGAAAATTAGGTAGGTAGAGTAGACAGAACAGAATTCTGGGAGAAAGAAGCTGAGTCAGGGAGTCGCCAGGATTCTCCCACTCCAGACAGATGCAGGTTAAGATCTTTCCTGGTAAGCCACTTTGTGGTGCTACATAGAATATTAGAAATGGGTTAAGAGGCTGAAACTAATGGGCCAGGCACTGTTTAAAAGAATACAGTTTCCGTGTAATTATTTCGGGGCATAAGCTAGTCATGTGGGTGGCCGGGTGCTGGGATGCAGGCAGCCCCGCCGCTCACATCAGAACAGCTCCATGTTGAGAAGCATCAGATACTTCAAGTAGGAGAGAGTGGCCTTCAGAGCTAAGGTCCCCGAAAGAATCCAATCCAGACCCAGGAGCTAAGGATTAATGTCTGTTAATGTCTACGCAGGCTGAACACAGACATTTGATGAACCTTCAGGTCAGCCTATGTGATGGTCAAGAGGAAGGTTATGCTAGTTCTTAGACTCTGCTGCCTAATGGCAGTGCTGAAGGGTCCACATCCCAGGACCTTGATAGAGAGCCCCACCCCTGTGATCCCCAAACATCCTGGTAGCAGTAAAGACTGCCTGGATTTCCAGTGTTCTTTCTAGCAGCTGAGAGGTTAACAAAACAAGTCCAGGCTATGAGTGCTAAGCAGCGGGATAAGCAGCGGGCAGTCTACTTTGTTGACACTAACTCCAAACCTACGGTCAAGTCCAAGGTGGCCATTACTTCTTCACTGACCCCGAGATGTTTCTGGTGCCTGTATTGTTTTCTAACTTTGGAAGAAGCCCCAAATAAGGATGACTTTTGGTTCAAGGTAGGAGCCATGACTATTTATATGACCTCACTCCTTCTTATATAATATAACAAACAGGCCTCTTAAGCCTGAAACAGAAAGAGCCAAATTCCGCCTTTAGACAAACATGTGCTGATCCCATTGAAGTCAGGGTGGCTTGGCTCTCAAACAGCTGAGGGCAAACTCCCTTGAGCAAGGATGCAGTGGGCAAGTCAAGGTTTCCCAGCACAGAATCTAGGACTCTGAAAACAAGCCGCTGGAGGAGTATGAAGAAAAAGTCTTGAAGACCCTAAGCAGTAAATACTTTCTGTCATGGGAGAATTAGCCTGTCTCCTTCTCATGGTGACAAGGTGACCCTGGAGAAAGCACACCAGCCTCCTCTCTCCAGGGATCCCCCTCTTTCTGTAAGCTCTGCTGCAGGTGAAATGCAGTCTGGACCAGAAGTCCACTCCCCCATTAACACTGCTGTTTTCCTCCTTCACTTTCTGAAAGAGGCACAGCCAGCCTCAGAGCGACAAATGACTTTAAACTCGCACTCACCGGCTCATTGCCCCCACACTACATACAGACATTTTATAGTAATTGGTCTTGATTTGCGTCATACATAGATTTACTTATGTACTTTCCTGTTCCCAAAAGAATTTTAAATGGCATACATAAGGTCTGAGGGACTGCCCCATTGTCTCATAATGTTAAAAAAAAATGTTACTCTTACAAAATAACTTGGATTTTTTTGTAGCATTTTCTTTTTTTTTATTTTCCATTCAAAAATTTACACTTCCTCCCCTTCTCCCATTCCCCTCCCACTCCCACACTCCCCCTCCACCCTCCCCCTCCCTCCTTAAGAGAGGGCAGGAACCCTGCCCGGTGGGAAGTCCAAGCCCCCCAATGTTTTAAAATCCATGGTAGCTTTTTTACAGCTAAAGTTGAAAATGATCAGGTCTATTGCTCAAATTATCCAATTTTTAATTTTCAAATAAATTTGAAGATTCGCAGGGAATCTTCTTGGGGACACTGTGAGCTCTGTCGAGCCTTTGTGATATTCTCCTGAACCTTGTCTACAGATGTGCAGAAGGAACCACAAGGCATAGGTCTCCATGTGTGCGGGTGATGGTGAAGTCTCCAGTGGTCGAATTCCTCACCTCTGTCTACCCCAGTGCATCCTCCACCTGCTCTGAATAAAGGGGACTGCGTTTAGGTGAGATTTACACACTCCACCACTCAGGAAATAAAACAGCAAGTCAGCAAAGCTGAGTATACTCTAAAGAAAGTCAGCAGTAGCGGGTAGCCATGGGGTGATGTCTTCTACGACTCCCCACCTCTCTCTTCCTCCCTCTTCCTCCCCATCTCCCCACCCTGCCCCTTGACCCCTAATACACGCGTTTGCCCTGCAGTCTAATTTCCAACTTGAACACTGCTGGACCCTTCCTTGAGGTATCCATTTAAGCCTGAGTTCTGAGCCCTGATTGCCCAAGCTTCAATGTCATGCCTGCCGACACCTGGTTCGTTATTACAGCTGCTGGCACTCAGACATAGAGGCTTTCTCTGAGATGGGTTTGGATGCTAGCTTCGTTCATAGTGACTGCTGAGTTCTAGATGACTAAGCTCATTTCGCATGTTCAGTAAAGTCCAAGACTCCAGTGTTGCCATTCAGGACCCTACAATCTTGTTCCAGTTTCCTAACCAACCCTCGCCTTCAGTATAGACTCTGCCTTGGCTCATACGAAGGACATTGTCCATCTCTGCTGCAAGAGCAATCCTCTATCTGACATTTGACAAATTTAACGAACACTAAAAAAAGACTAACAATATGTCTGGTGTGCTCCAAGAACTCTGTGTATCTCGCTGGATCCTCACATCTCTGGATACTGCTATTAGCCCGTTTTGGTTTCATTCACTTATATTTATTTACGGTGTTGTGTGTCTGTGTGTGTCTCTGCACTGGAGTGCACTGACTGCCACAGCATATGTAGAAGTCAGAGGACAACTTGCAGGAGTCAGTTCTCTCCCGCTGTGTGGGTCCTGGGGATCACACTCAGGTCATCAGGCATGGTCGCAAGTGCCTGACCCTGCCAAGCAGTCTTGCCAGCCCTCATCCAGCTTGAAAGATGAGGAGGGAGAAGCCTAGAGATGAGCCCTAGCTTGCTCATTGATTTCTTCTTCTCCATGAGTTCCATGCCTTAGTTGTAGCTCTTTTATGTCCTCAGTATTTTGATCTTTGTAGGCTTTTCTTCTTACCTGATAGGTGTGAGGCTCCCAAGAATTGGAATCCACACCAGATTCTATTTTGACGTTTATGGTTCACCTACTTTGCTCAAGCTGGGTGCCAGCCTATCAATATTAGTGTGTAGAAAGAAGGAAGCAAGAAAGGGAGCCAGAGTCCCTTCAGCTAAGGGACTTCAACTGGAATGAGGAGTCACTTTGTTCTTACCCCTGTGTGGTTGCTGGGTTTGCATCCCCATTCGTAGGGAGTCTTGACACACAAAGCTATGTCTTCGGAGATGAGCGGGACTGTACTCAGTCTCCCTTTGCTCTGTCCACATACAGGAGTAGTGGCGATGACAGACTGGCAGGGCTGGAAACCGCAGCGGTGACAGCTGCAATTATTGTACAGCATGGACCAGTCACTTTTATCCTGTACTGAAATCCTGCACACTTGACCTTAGCACTCTTACTTTATAGAAGGGAAGTAGATTCAGCGAGGCTCAGTCATTTGGCCAAGGTTAAAAGCTGTTAGAACACAGTAAGGAGGCTTGAACTGAGCTCTGCCATGCCAGGATCAGTCTGGCTACATCCACTATACAGCAGCATGTCTTTCGGCTCCTGTGGGGCCAAAAAAAAGGCTAGTCAGCTGAAACCATTCATTCTGCGCTTCCTGGATGCTCTTTGTGGCTGGCCTTTTAAGTGGAAAGAGACATTCTTTCTCTCTCTCTCTCTCTCTCTCTCTCTCTCTCTCTCTCTCTCTCTCTCCTCTCCTCTCCTCTCCTCTCCCTCCCTCCCTCTCCCTCCTCCTCCTCCTCCTCCTCCTCCTCCTCCTCCTCCTCCTCCTCCTCCTCCTCCTCCTCCTCCTCCTCCTCTTCTTCTTCTTCTTCTTCTTCTTCTTCTTCTTCTTCTTCCTAAAGGCCAGCTGAATTGCACCCTATTTCCCCACAATTCAAAGCGTCTAGGAACACAATGGATGGTGAATATAGAAAAGGTGCCAAGGCAAGAGTATGAGAGGTGACTCTCAGGAGGATGAGGACCTGCATTTTGGGTCCCTAACATGCATATTTAAAAAAAAAACTGGGTGCTTAAGCATGGGCCTGCCTGTGATCTCAGTACTGGGTGCGAGCAGACCTTGCTGGGAGCTTGCTGGCTAGTATAGCTGATTCAATATGTTTTAGGTTCGGTGAGAGAACTTGTCTCAAAAACAAGACAGAGAGTGATGAAGGAAGACATCAGACACACAGCCTCCTCGTGGGTGTACTCAAAGACGTGTATGTACCCCACACACATGCGGACACACAGTAAGACCGTCATGAAATGACAGAGCCCGTGGGGGTGGGGAGACCCTCAGAGACTTGCTTGGAGTCAAACAAGCAGAGAGAGACAAATGTTTGGTCAAAAAGACAAAGCTCACTGTGCTTCATCAGCCCGTGAAGCTGCTTGGCTAGATCACAACCCTCAGGCACACACAACATGGCCACAAAATCAAGTCCGTGGTCTGGGTGTGATCTGCACACTTTTCCGTTCACAGGAAAGTGATTCCCGTTACACCTAGGGAGGAAACAGGCAGGGAATCCCTCAAAACGCCACCCATTTCCTCACGTCCCAGCTCTGACTCATCAAGCCTGGAGTGTAATTCTGCTCTCGCCGCCGGGAGTCTTGGTGCAGCGCTCTGCACGCGCTAGCAAAATCATCTTTCATTGCTGCTAGGTGACAGCCCTGTTCTCTGTCTCTTTCCACGGCTGGGAACCAGCGCTGGCACAGGATTAAATGCAGACCAGAGGCCCCATTAGGTGTTCTTTGTCAGCCGACTTCAGCCCAGCCTGACCCTGAGAACCCAGTTCTGGTCAGGATGACCGCGAGGGCGTGGCAGCTTTCCTTGAGAGCCTGATGTTCTAGATGGCCCTCTGGGAACAGCAACAAGGCGACTTCTCTGAGGGACGCTATTTGGGGACACGCTGACTATTTAGCAATCCTTTTGCTGAGGCTCCTGTGATGAATGGATGTGTGCAGGGGAAAATGTGGGTGAAGGGTTCGCGGAGCACCCTGTTTGTTCCATTCTGACAGATACCCAGGTAGTTACCATAACTATCATGCAGCCCTGCCAGATCCCACTTCCCCTCAGAAGATTTGTAGCTACATTTCTCTTCAAATTAACAGAAGTCAGAACATGACAACCTAACCAAAATCTATGCTCAAAGCCCGAGGAGACAACTCGATTGGCAAAGGGCACGCCAGGCTACCATGAAGAGCTAAGGTCCAGCCCCATGTTAAGATGCCCAGCTTGGCTCATCATACCCATAATCTCCATGCGGGGAGGAAGGAACATCTAGATCCAGAGGTTCACCGGCCAGCCAGCCTTGCTGAACAGGCTACTTCCTAGCATCTTAGCAGGCATGAGGGAAGAGGGGTGGTTCAGAGAATAAACTGAGTGCCCTAAAATGCCAGCCAGTCTCACTTCATCTCCCTTCCTATCTCCTCTCGCTTTCTCCCTACAGACATTTCTCCAATGTCACAAGACACCGTTCAGAGACAGAAGGGGGCAAACACTGCAGGAGGAAAACAATTACTGGTCTGGAACTTGTGGGGAAACATAGACTCTGGTCCTATACCCTTCTTAAACACAGTGACCAGGACGGGCAGTAGATGTGCCCAGGTCCCTAGGGCAGCTGATGGAGGAACAACAGAAGGCTCTGACATCTCCCTGATGACTAATGGTTCGGGTAATGGCTTTTTGGAACTCCTCTATCTTGCCGTCGCCTGCTGTTAAGGGATGTCACCAGCTTCTTTAGGAATTTGGGCCATCTCAGAGGCATCATAGCCTTCTCCTCATCCCTAAAGCAGACCAAGTGTTGTAGGTGACAAGAAGTGCTTCAAGAGGAGGCAGGATCCTCTCCAAAGGCTGATGGCGTACGTGGGAACTGGCAAACAGAACATCTTAGCTTTACCCGGGGGAAGGAGCTAGGAGAGTGGGGGGGAAACACACATCAGTTTGCAGCGGACTGGTATGTGATAAAATAATGGGCGGTCCTTGAATCCGCACGTATCAGAATAGCATCGTGCGGAGATGAATCTGGTGGTGGTGGTGGGGGGCTGGGTAGCAGGAAGGATGAGAGAAGACAGCATCTCTCGTAAGGAATGAGGAGCAAAAGATGAGAGGCAGGGACCAGATAGACCTGGTTCAGGCTCCCAGACCCTCTCCTCTCTGATGCAGTTGTCTCAGTTTCAATGGATCTGCACAAGGAAAGAATAGAACCACTAAAAAATGTCACATTTGCCAGGCAGTGTTGGCGCACGCCTTCAATCCCAGCACTCGGGAGGCAGAGGCAGGTTTGAGTTTGAGGCCATCCTGGTCTATAGAGCTAGTTCCAGGACAGCCAAGGCTACACAAAAGAAACCTTATCTTGGGGGAAAGAAAGGAAAAAGAAAGAATGAGATAAAGAAGAAAGAAAGCAAAGAAAGATGTCGTACTTGTTAATTTTTTTCTTAAAACTAAGACTTTACCTCTTGGGTACCTTCTTCTAGTTCTCAGTCTTGGGGCTTGTCCCATTCCTCTAACACTTGTAGAACAGTAGCAAGAAAGGGTTATGCTCAGTGTCAATCACACATTGTCGTCTCAGTTTAGGGCCTCTGACAGTGCGTGCTATTATATGCTAGCTGCATCTGGCTCAGATGGAGGCCGATACAATGATAATAAATACAGTAGTCATGCGAATGGCTAGCAGAGGAGTGGCCAGACAGCAAGAATAATCCGGCTGCCGCCGCCACTGCTTCCCTTATGTGGAGGTAGATGAGGAGACACGGATCTAGAAGCTAGCACAGTGAGCAATGCCACAGAGTGCGGCTGCACGAGGCACTTCCTGTAGAACCCACATTGACCTTCCTGTCCCCTACATTCGTATCCAGAATGCTTGTGGGGTTCCCCTAAAAATCAGTTGCTATTTTCTACCACATTCTGTAATGAGCAGAGGCTACTCTTCCTCGGACACAGATAAGATGGCTGAGTTTCCACCAGACGACCTAAAAACAAAGTCTTTTACTAAATCTAACTGAATAAAACTGGAAGCAATTTGTCTCTTAGGTAACTCCCTGCGTCTGGAGCTTCATTCTCTGACCCACTGCTTCCTTATTACCAGCGAGAGACAGTACTGCTACTAAAAGCAAGGGAAATAAGATTTCAGGTTAAGACAGTCTCTTCCGTCTGCCTGGAGCATCCCTCAGAGCTCCCTCAGCCGGTGCTGACTTCAGGCAGCACACCTCCATTAGCCTCGCCCTAGAAGATCCTCCAAGATCAAGGTTCATTAGAGAAGGTCAAAGGGCATCCAGGAAGGATGTCAGTTAGCCAAGAATTAGTAAGGACCAGGAAATACAACCAGAGTCACCTGGAATCTCCGTGGCCACCCCTCCTTTCTGTCGTCTGCTCCATACTGAGACCAAGTCCTCGGGGTGGAAGACATTCATCCTGAAAGCCCAGACAGATAACACGCCAGTAGATTGTGGTGTTGTACAGAAATTCAGAGAGGAACCTTTTCTGGGTAGTCTGGCAGCCATCAGCTGTTCCTCCATTAATTGGGGAAAAGCATCTGCTCTGCTCTAGAATGAAGCACCTCAGAAAATCCAAATTAAGGCTGAAAGGGGTGGGCTGGAGATGGCAAGCCCGTGCTTTCCCACGAAGCGTATGTTCTGGCATATTTATCTTTGGGATCGGCATTCCCTGAGTAAACAGGAATCCAACAATCATACCTGCTTTATGATTCCAAGCATGCCACGTTAGCATAAATCACAGCACATTCATATGGCGTTGATTGTGAAAGATAACAACCACCTCACCACGAAGCTCAGACACCTCTGTCATGATCTAACATCTACAGACATCCGTACCTCTTCCCCTGCGGATGCACTTTAAACACAAAACCGAAAGAGAATATGGTCTCTCCAAAGTGATTTTTGTTTTGTTTTGTTTTCTGAGACAGGGTTTCTTTTTTTTTAATATTTATTTATTTATTTATTTATTTATTTATTTATTTATTATGTATACAATATTCTGTCTGTGTGTATGTCTGCAGGCCAGAAGAGGGCACCAGACCTCATTACAGATGGTTGTTAGCCACCATGTGGTTGCCGGGAATTGAACTCAGGACCTTTGGAAGAGCAGGCAATGCTCTTAACCACTGAGCCATCTCTCCAGCCCTGAGACAGGGTTTCTCTGTAGCTTTGGAGCCTGTCCTGGAACTAGCTCTTGTAGACCCAGGCTGGCCTTGAACTCACAGATATCCACCCGTCTCTGCCTCCCAAGTGCTGAGATTAAAGGTGTGTGCCATCCACAGTGTTTTTAAATCAAGAGAGAAGAAACTATCCTAAAATGCATTGGACTTTATGATGCTTCCTATAAGATCTCTCTCATTACATCCTAATCTCACTCCAGGAGAAAGATATGTGAGCGAAGTTTTGCTAGGGGTGTGGCTCAGTTGTAGAACACTTGCCAGGCACGAGCAAGGCCCTGGGTTCTACCCCCAACACTGCAAATATAACGTGTAGCTTGTTCTTTCTAGGGCATGGTTTGCTTTTCCCTTGCTCCTTTCAAGCCGGAGATGACATCTCTCTAGGACAGGGACTGT